TTGCTCCCTCCTTGTGCTTCTTCCAGGTCCCCCACTTCCCCACCAGAGTCTAATCTTATTTTAACTGGATAAAAATGTGTTGCTTTACATGCAATGATCTCCTCCACCCTTTTCAAAATTCTAGATCTGCCCGTGGCTGTGTCAGTTCCCTCTGCTCCTAAAATTCCCTTCCTAGCCCGGTGAGGCCAAGACCATGTCCTTAGATTTGGGGAAGGTGCGATTGGGTTAAAGAATTTCTACATTGTCAAACTTTTGACAGTTGCAGCTTTTTGTCCGTCAATCATGTGGCTCCACGTTCTCCTGTTAAAAGGGGTTTCAGCTGTGTTGTAAACACTGGCTGTTTGGAAACACATATTCCCTTGGATGGTATTTTGTTAGAAGTGCTTTTAAACATTACGAATACATGTTGGTATTAGAAGCTATGCAATACTGCTTGTTTCTTTCCTTGTGCGTGTAGCCAACTCTTCTACAACCTTAGGCAGTGACAGTAATAAGCAAAACTCATTCCTTCTACTTAAGTGAGGTATGAGTGGGAGGTGCTTGTCTTCCTATAATACTGAAATGAAGGAGATTTTCCTAGATGCTTGCTTGATTCTGCAGCATCAAGCAAAAATGGTAAGCTGGCAGAAAGGCATTCATGGTCATTCATTTCTTCCCTGGTTTTTCCCAAATGTTATGGGTTGAGAACCTCCCCCCCCCCACACACACACATTTTTCTAACCATCTCTTAATTTATAGCAGTTTTCATATTAGACAGAATATAGGAAAAGAGATGAATTTGGAAACAAACACCTAGTTAAAAGGCTCACTCTATGCAATGTTTGAACTGGTACCAAAGCTTGGGTCTTATTAAGAGGTTATCTTGGAAAACCCCCTATAGGGAGGAATGCTACTCAGCTTTCACCCAACTAGGTACATGTTGACGCAGAGATGAGCTATACAGAAACAACTGTAAACACAAATAAGCCATGTTATGTTAATCAGGCATACAGACACACTGGCCAAACAAAGAATCTGGAAAACTATTAAGCAAACAAGCAAGCAAAGATAAAGCATAATTTTCCAGAATGCATTGTGGCAAGATCCTGTAAAGTATTCCCCTCCCCCTCCTCTGTTAAGGTGCTGGATAGAAGTATTTGCCTGTGCCATGACATTCATTCCAATTTGAGACAGAACAGCATTTTTCATAGCATCAAATGTGTCATCATCTCTTATGTTGCCTGTGGTATTAGTTCACACCAGAAAAAAAAAGTCTAGAAAAAAAGTTTTCCTATAATTCCTTAGCAGGGGGCACAGTGCCTGGAAAACTCACATGTAGAATGACATGTACAGCATCCTGGGAGAAAGGAAGGTTGACCAGGCCTGTTAACACGGGTACAGTCAAGGGTATTGTTCCACATGCCAACACGGTTACAAAAGAAATACTCTGTGCCAGCTAATACTGAATAGTAACTATGAAACAATGTGCTGTTACGCTGGTATTACCATGTGGACACAAACCATGCTTAAAAGCCAACTACACTGCTAAATACTTACCAAAGCCAGTTCAATTTAAGCAGTGGATCCTGTCTTCACCATATCTGCAAGGCAATTTAGAGAATTAAAAGAACCAACATGAACAGTTTCCCAAATAAAGCTGTTTTGAACAAATGCACCTTCAATGAACACAATTTTATTTCATTTAGTGGCAACTGACTTTGTTAAAGGCAAGGAAAGTTTTTTTCCCCCAAAATGAAAATGTTACTTTGAAGCATTTTGTTCTATAATGTGACCTGGGGTCAGTACATTTCTCAGAGTATTCCAAAGTCAATGGAAGCTGAGAGGTCTTAGCACCCCTTCACACATTACCATGTACAGAAAGTATAACCCTTGCTAGCCTTCAACTGGGGGATGAGTCTTGACAAGATTCCTTTCCACCCATATGTTTCTTTTCCAATCACTTAGGAAACACAGGTCCTCTGAACATAGGGTGCTAGTGCATAACTGGGAGCAATTAGCAGTGGGTTAGTTCAATGCATCAGGTTCCCCAGGATTACCAGTCTGTAATGTTTCATATTGAAAAGGTTAGTTACAGGAGGAAAAAAAAAAAAAGTGATGGATTTGTGATTTCTGAAAGGAGACAAAGCAAACAAGCCACCTTGAAAAATGTGATTTTATTTTTTTGTAATTGAAAAGACCTGTCAATTTAATGGTGTTTCCATTCATGATCTCTCATATGGCATTGTGTGTTTTGTTTGTTTTTAACATTGCTCAGAACTATATAAAAAGCCATTTGTTTTACTACATAGGTTAACATCCTAAAACATTGCATTTTCAAAGCAGGTTAAGTTTAAAAATAGGATGTTCCCAAGAACTCTCACAACTGCAGAGGCAACTTTAATGGGAGCTGAAGCATATTGCAAATTTGAGCATTTGGTCTTCAAAAAGGTTTAAAACCAGATTGCTTTTGCAGCAATAGGAAAGGTCCAAACTGACAGCCCACACGCAGGATAGGAGGAGAACCCAGAGCAACTGGAACACTTGTTCAACACAAACATTACCCAATGGCAAGTTGGTAAAAGCAGTCTTTCATATCCAGGGTAGCAATCATTTAAAGTATTAATTATTTTCTTTTAAATAATTATGCCGAGTTTCCACAAAAACCCAAGATACCGCACAATCAAGTGGCCTCTCACTCGTCACATGCTCACGGTACTGTAAGTACTCCAGTGCAAGGGCCAGATTCTGAAAGGATTGCAGGGTCAGGCCCTATATTTCTGAAGTCAGATGACAGATTGTCATTCTAAAAGGAAAGTCCTTATGTCATTCTTTGGTTTATTCTCATGGTTCCCAACACTGTGTCCGCAAGCCCAGAAACATACACCACATGAGAAGCCATTGCTGCTAATTTGTTCTAAAAGCAAGTCCTCTACTACTGTCTGCTGTATAGCATTTCTAAAAGGATTTTTTGTGTATTGAGTTTACAGAAAACTATAGGAATTCAGAGTACCCCTTACATTCGTGTCCCCAGAAATCTAGCAACTGTTTAAAGGTATGCTTTGAGGCATGACCAGCATGCCTATAAATTCATATTGTTCAAGTTGAGGGTAAATATTGCTGAAAAAACACCCTCCTATAATTAAATGGTCATCACTAACAGTAGTTCAGCGACTATATTAGCATTAAAAGAAATGCAGACATTATGCCTTCTGCATATTAGTCCTCTAAGCCAAAAGAAAGGTCTTGCCATCAACTTATGAAAGAAAAGTTTCTGAAATTAAAAGGAAGGTTTGAGGGCAAAATATTGATATCAAAAGATGTGTACCACTGAGATGCATGCCAACAGAATGCATACTGAACCTCTGAAAGTCTAGTTCCTACTTTTGAAATAGTCAAATTTGCTTCACTCTTCATGGAACTAACACATTAGGTATTTTCTTCCTTATCACATTTGAGAAAAAGATAGCTTCAATCTATCTGATTGGCATGCAGATATGCAAGCAGTTTTTCCTAAACTTTACATCAAGGCGACAGATTTTATTCTGAAGATGTTACCAATATTTCTGTTTACAAATAAAAACATACTGGTAACTATACTCAAACGACACGGCTGTTGTATGACCAGTGACACCACCTATTTTTCAGTAGAACTCAGCTTTAATGTGCTTTTTTAGAAAGACTTCCCAACACTGGTTTTGCTTCCTTCCCAATTCCACAGAAATAGCGCAAAAAAAAAAAAAAAAAAATCAAGACTGGACAGATTGAATTGTTACTAGTTGGTAAATATCCACAAGTCTCGTATTCCAATGTTATTTTTAACTGCAACAAATATAGGTCATTCTTTATAACCTACTGCCGGTGGCTGTTTATAAATATCTCTTTGTTTTAACAAACACTGGTCAGTAACGTGAAAGATTAATTTGCAATAACTACTTGGCACTAGGTTAATGTACTTGCTAAGTTGTGATATACACAAAGCACTTACAGAAATGTCAAACTTCTATAACTTTGTTGGGGTTTTAATGTCACATATAATTACAATTTTCACAAGCATTTTTTTAACATGTCCACCAAAAAAGAAAGGCTTTGGAGGCTCCAGTCCCAGCTCATCATTTAAATTTGTTAGCCAATAATTTAATAGAGCAATCCTTGCTCTCTATATAGAGCTACAGGATGGTACCAAAACTTAACTGTAAAAAAAGAAAAGAATTTGCAAATTAAATTGACTCCAAGCATTCCACTGCAAAAAAGCAACTGCAAGGCCACAAATCTGAATTTGTAAAAATGTTCAAGATTTCTCAATGTTTATTTTGTGGTAGGAACTGATTAAATATTCACTGTTCACGAAAAAAGTTCGGCCTGAAAACCCTGATCTATTAAGTCACTTAGTTTAAATAGTTCCAAGTAAATGTTAGCCAGTTTAGATGGCTAATGCATATAGAACATCCATATGTACTCACTTGGCTGCTTAAGCTGTGTGTTTAAATGAAAATTTCTAACTGTGGTAAGGAAATGCCAACATAGATGAAGGCCAAAAGATACAAAGGTAATCATGAGAATAACAGGTGGTAAAAGCTGAGGCTCAAAAGTTTTCTTATGTTAAAAAGGCACGCCACCCTCAGGGAGCTAGACACAAAAGCTTAGCAGTATTACAACAATAAACCTTGCCGGAAAAGCCTACCAAATTACCCAAGTGCCTACTGGGAGGGAACAATGAGGAAGACAGGCCACTCTTGCTCTGTTCTGTTTGCAGGGAAATGGTCAATTTAAATAGGCAAATTTAGCCACAATTAGAAACATTAAACAACAGCTACCCCAAGAAACCAGAACAAAATCTGACCTTTGGGTCAAAGCCCATAGACAGGTTTTCCCATGTCATGTAGCTGAGTGAGTTCAGATTGGCAATGAAAAGGCGGGGGGGGGGGGGG